ACATGCACTACACTCTTAGATATGTCGGGAGACCGGTCAGAGTTTAGAGCTCCCTCTTAGCTTAGCTATCCCGGCTGGGGCGGTACCCCGCTGGTGGGAGATATCTGGTTGAGGAAACCTCGCTAGCCGACAGTAGGTCGGCGCCGGATCTCGCCATACAACGATGGAAGACCACAGACACCTTCCAAGCAAAAATATGCACTACACTTACGGGAATAATTACGTAATTATATCACGCGCCCGTCATCACTAACAGTTATTCAATCAATAAATTACTGGAGTATTTATTATTGGCATATGCAAGGACGTTGCTTTGCTCACGTAAAGCACTTCACCGGCAACCTAAACACGACGTTTAGACTAACCCGCAGCAATCTGAGCCAACGAGTTGTGATGATCGCAAAGAAGATACCACCAAATGTAAAATTTTACAGCAAGGTTAAAAGTTACAAGTCTTTCCCATTGCTCATGTATAAGGTTTCCACACACATTTACATCAATAGATTTTCCAAGTGAGTGTTATCCGACTCACAACACGCCTTACTGCGCTTGAAAACTGTAAAGCGTTCATAAATTAGAAGCACGTCGTAAGCAACGCTGCGCGAAAATATTTGTCATTTTGTTTTGCCGTCCGGACCAGATTAGGTGGCTCAGGGCAACAAGTGATGTCACGCCAGTGCCACTGACCGCGAATTCCGAGATTCGACCCCCGACGGTGGCAAGATTTTTGGCACTAGCTACACTGCCGCTGTCAGGAAGAGAATTCTAGCGGACGGCTGCTCTAATTGGTCGTTTTCCATGGTTTCCCCAGTTATTTTTGTGGTTATAACATCGCAGTCGTCATGTGTGGTTAATGCATCAACCCATATGTGGAACGTTTTGTCTCGCTCCTTTTATTTTGTACCTTTTATTTTGTACCTACAAGTACCTTTTATTTTGTATTCAGAAATGGTTAAATTGAATTTTTAAATGCAAAAATTTGAAAGCACTCCAATTAATTCTTTTTAAACTTGAACACTAAAACAGTTGCTAAATAAAATTTCATACATTATGATTGAATCTTTTCCATTATTTAAATTAAATAATTTCTATTATTTTGCCAAATATTTTCTCTAACATTTATTTGCAAAAAATTATATCTCTTCCCTACCCCACAAAAAAGTCTAGTCAATAACAAGTTTTGTGTTCCAAACATAATGAGTCAGGAAACAATGGAAGCATTTGTAAAGAATAAATAATAATTACAAATGGAAATATCTCTTACATAAGCATTAATTATGATAGATTCTTAACGTCAAAACCAAAGTACGATAAGTGTTCCCAAATTATAAAATTTTATTAAAAAACGCAGTGTAATTAAATTTTCTTACGAGAGTGCTAGTTCAAATCCCTATTTCTTCTTTTGAATTTTTGTTACTGTATAGTAGGTAATTGTTGGCCCTGGAACAATAGTATCACATGTTCCCTGAAATTGGATAAACATTTTATTTATGATTTTTTCATAAAAATCTGTGACATAATCAAAGCGAGCAGCCATAAAAAATTGTTTCGAATTTTGTTTAATACCTATTATAGAAACAAAATTCTCGCCTTATATCACGAAGCTTGCATTGTTACATGGGAATATTTTTACACATTACAAACTTTGCAAACATAAACATTGTTAATCCTTGGTAATTTCTAAAAGTGACAGTATTCTGAATGTATAAAATAAGAACAATCAAAACCGTTCTATAAATTGAAACTCAAACCATCAAAGAAAGACAATTGTATATTTTCAAAGTTCAAGCTCCAAATTTGATATTTCAACTATTCAAATCTATATATGGTTTTCTGAAGTAAATTTTAGTCTGCATACACCTACGATTAAAAACTTATTTCTTGTCATAAAATTTTGTTCAAATTTTCTGTTCTGAAGAAGCGCTATCACACATTGTATCCTCACATTTTAAAACAGATATTTTCACATCTTGTGTTGGGTACACATTTGTATTTTAACAAGGTTATTCTCAATACATTGTCTTAAAAATGAGATCACAATGGATGTATTCTGAATTCTTCTCATTTTATAATTAACTCATTCTAAAAAAAACTCTTGTTTTCTAAAAAAGAGTCATCGTGGCCATCATGTATTTATCCCAGCCTGAACCAAGAAACATTATGCTATGCATTAACTAATTTAATTTAACTGATAACATTTTTTTAAAATAAATGTTATTTGTGACAAAAAAACTACAAATGCATCAAAACATTGCAATGCATGATAGTGCAAATAAATCACACGCGTCAACTTTTTTCACTTACACATTCTATATTTTTATTTGAATGCTGGTGTTTAACACATCACAGAACAAAGTAACATTGCAAGAATTTTTAAAATTCACAAGTACAACACCAAAGGAAGACACCAAGACAAAGTTTCATCAAATAGGCCCGATAAGGTTATCATATCTGTGATTTCCAATTCAAATCACATGCAACTTAACTTAATTCTTTAAAAAATGCCTTCGTTTACATATCCTTCAGTAAACACACATATCCTGAACACTCACATATTTCACTAAACACACATTCAACAACATGACGTTGCACATCACCTTGTAGTTCCCCTTTTTATAAGCATTCTGCATGTGTAATGTTTTCTGCCAGTCTTAAATAAATGAATCAGCAACTTCTCTGACATACTTCAGTATGTCGTGTAAACAAATTTACTGTATTTAACTACAAATTTACTCCCAACTTTTGAAACTAGACAATGGATTTACACACACGCATACATTCGTGTTTATCAAAATGCTGAACCTGTGATAAATCATACATTATACGTTATTTTATTCGAGAAGAGTATAATGGTCAATATTAACCTCACCACAACATTTTACCGCTTACCCCTGCGTGTCAATGGACATTCTCATGGAAAGAAACTGCTAACAGCAGATACTCAACCTGATATTACGTCCTTTGCAAACTTAAAAGTGAACAGTCTCCCCAGGGGGATAATTTCTATTGATGGGGCACTATTTCACACTCAGCACCACAGAGCTCGTGCCTTGCGAACTCTCGAGTACCATGTAGCCATCTGTGGTTCCGCCAAAGAAGGTTGGGCAACATTACCATTTTAATCGTCTCAAATACCATGCCGTTAGCGTTCATAAATGCGTTCTGGCAGGAACCACAGAGAAAATAATCTGAATTAATAGGGTGGTTCTATGTATCTGTCAACCTCAACGTTGGTAGGTGTTGATAATCAACCAGCGGTACGCCACATATGATGATTATTGTCACAATGTAAAAATAGATCGTCACAACTGGAAAGCAAACAACGATAGAGTTATGACTGAGAGAGAGATGACAATATTTTAGAGTGCGGGACTAATGACCTTAGCAGTTGTCACGCCCGTAATCACTAACCTAACCAATCATTCACAAGCAGTTTGTTCGGTCGTGGCTCCTGGCAGTCCTTGCTCTAGCGACTAGCCTCGGCCTTCTGTAACGCCTTTGAATAACAGTCGCAATATCCAGTGATTGACTTAGCGTCAATCTCACTGCCAAATGCAGTATTATAGTTGCTTCGAATTGAGGTAAAATGGGTAAAAATTGTGATTTTAATTGATATGATTCAGCTTTTGCACATATTTTATAAATTTGTATTCTTTATTAGAAGGTACATACATTGATGTTTTTTTGAGCAGTTAAATTTGGACCCCTAAAGTCATTCGTTTGCGTTATTAATAAATATTAAGTGCCGCTAGACAGACTACATGTACCTACCAAACATATGTGCGTATGGGCTTGCCTAAACGTTAGGGGCTAACACCATATGTACAAATACTTACAACTTTATTAAGTACAATTTCCCGCAGTAATGGCAAAATGTGATCTCACTATAGGTTATAAAAGTTTGTAACATTTTTCTGAGACACTTGTATATCTATCTTTTCATCAAGCAGTCTCACACATACTCACTGTTACATTTTTTCTTGTATGTTTCTCTTTCTCTCTTCATGAGGATGACGTGTGAATTTAACAAATTTCTAGTGGTAAGTTTGTAGTTATTTTCAAGAAATAAAACTTTAATTTACAACGGAACACATCGAGAGGTACAAGAAAAATATAAGTTAAAAAATTGTACTGTATGTTAAGAATTTCTTCATGGCCTACGGTAAACATTTTATTGAATACACTTGAAGCACACGTATTACTCTTTTCCAGTTTGGTGCTTTCTAATCATCGTTTCCGTGCTTGCCTGCCCGTCATGGAGCCACTGTTTTAGGTTGCCACTCCCACCAGGCGGCGTAGTGTCGTGTTGTAGTTGAATGACCTGTGGTGCCGCTGCGTGGCGTGGCGTGGCGCAGCGTGGCCCTGTTGTTATGGGGTGTGGTTTGCCGCCGGGCGGCACGGCGCGACTTGAGGCGGGAGGTGGTCGGTCGCGGGGTGGTGTGTGACGTGACGGGGCATGCGACGCGAAGCGAAGCGAGACGTGGTGAAGCATTGTCCGGATCACGAGAATGCAAGCTTAAAGCGACACGCGCGCTCAATTATCTTCTGCATAAGTTACAGCTCGCTCTACGCGGCCATCTGAAATGGAAAATGCCGATCCGCCGGTCGAATTATGTGCTTCCGAACTGCGCTGCCGCAACCTAGGAACCTCCCGCACACACCGACTACGGATCCTTACTCCTGCTCCTTTGCCTCAGCCTTTCTCCTATACACGCAAGAGGCAAATTCACCACACTACTACGCCTTCACTAGAAGTCAGAAGTCAGTAGACGTATCGGGAGCTCAGACCTTGTCCAGCTGGGAGGATAGAGATGGAAGATTCATGGAGGCCCACAAGCGGATGTACTGGACGGTGCCAGATATCTCCAGTCAGCGGTGAAGAAACATCTCTTGGGATAAGAAATATTCACCAGACTAACAGCTCCAATAACCAATGAGTGTTTGCTTACATGCACAGCCTTTCTTATTACTTTATTATATTATAGTTTCCATAAACATTGTCATAAGTCTGTTAGTAATAAGAATAATAACATATGGTTGAGACATCATTTCCGTATTCTGGTTTCACAATAGACGTGAGTGAATTACGTCCGCACGGCGGAAATAGTCGGTAACGTTTTAGTTAATAACACAACCATTTTACAATAATGAGATAAGACAGAACATTATTTAGCGGCAAATAATATTACATATTGATTTGGTGTCCATTTTTTTTATTGCTCGTATTTGTCTATAAATTTAAATAGTATAGAGAAACTATTTTAATGCTGCACGGAAAATGGCAGACATTTCAACATAAAAGCTCGTTTTGTGTATCTCTGACACACTGAAATTGTATGTTTCATCTTGTATGTTAGAATATCCTCAATAACTGGTTTTCGGCAAAACGTTTCTGTCCATCAGACTGTAGACATTAGAAATCGCTGAAAAGACTTTCTGCAAAACAATGTTTCAGGATTGGCCTGATTCGATCTGGCAAGACTCAAGAAATTCTTCTAAAAACGAACGATTTAGGTAAAAGAGGCAAATATGGCTAGTGCAGGTATTAAGGCCATGTAGCGGCTATGTTGTTAGTTGAAAAATTATCATAGATCGTACTAGCCTGCTGTCTTGAGCAAACGAAGTGGGTTAACGCCGTACCTGGTTTGTTGACTCACTCATTCGCACTCTAGGGCTTCCATTGTCAAGAACATGTTGAAGGAGCACTACCCTTGTAACTAATTATAAAATTATCAGGAAAGACGTTATAAGGATTTAGTATTTTGACAATCTACATTAACGTATAGCGCATTTAATGAGCAATCTAATTAGATTAATGCCGTTAAATTTGCTCAATATTTTAACAACGTGGGAGAGACTTTACAACTTAAGATTTTTTGCTGTCAAAACAGCCATACTTACTTCATTTTTCAACAATAAGCTCTCACGTTTTGGTTTTAAAAGATGATTTATTTTCAACTCATACATCAGACAAAGTTCAAAACAATCCATCAACTTTCAAGCAAAATAATAAAATGGATCATCCCGCAAAGACAAAGAATAAAGATAATCCTCACAAAAAAACGCATTTCCATGTAGAAAACCCAACAAAAGAGGAAACTGGAGGAAACAAATATTGCAGAGATAATTAGGGAAAGCTAATATTGTCATGAGGAGATGGATTGAATTGCATTGGAGATGAATTTAATTTTGATCGTAATTAAAGTAGAACGTTTAACAACTGATTGTATTATTTACCAAAATTGCCATACCATGTTGTGTTCAGATAGAAAACTGTTTCAGTTTGAGAACAGTCAATATTACCTCCATTAATTCTCAAAATAGTTACATTGATTGCCGGGGTTCGACCCTGAGTTGTAAATTAAGTCATAAATCTCCGACTATGGTTCAACTATAGTAATAGGATGGTTTTAATTGACTTAGAAAGAAAAGTAATAGGAAGTTGTCTATAGAATAAATTGTAGTTTTTTACTCTTTCATATTCAGTGAAGCAGAATATCTGGAATAAACGAAACATCTTTCCAAATGGCTTCACAAGAACAATGTTAACTACTGGAGCTATATAATGACACAGACTTCCTCGCACTTGTTAGTTTCTCTACGGCGTCTAAATTCTTCTTATAAAAGACTACCAATGCCGTTCGAGTGACCTACCGCTCCTCTGAATTGTAGTAAGAGCACCTTGGCGCACCACAAACATCGGCTAGGCTTACCTTGGTCCTGAAAACATGTCTTACGTAGGTTTCGAACTCACAGCTTTAGCTCACCTGCCACAATCTACTGTCACAACTCACAGCTCAGTTCTTTAGCTCCCCTGCCACCATCTGTCTCACGAGGCCGAATCACTTGAACGTACTGATTGTCAACGCGTTACGACGTCGTAACATAAAAATGGTATAAAACCAAGTATTCTTGTTTAACTGAAACTGATCTTTTTATGCACACGGGGCTTTCAATGTGCGTTGTAAAATTGAATCTATTTCTGAATAATTTTGACACCATTCGTTTCCAATGCAAAGTTGCTTAAGTATCAAAATGTTCAATATCGCCCTCAGTAATGAAGAATAGACTCAAAATAAACAACTGTAGAAAAACGTAGTAGAATATATTTACAGAACGTATCAGTTAACACAATGCTTTGCTTTTAATATTATATATTTAATATTGAGGAAATACTGTTTTATCAAAAAACAACTACCTTATTTCACATTTCCTCAATTTTTGGTGGCCTAATAGTAGAATTTAAATACGAATTTAGGACCATTATAGAAGGGTAAAACCCTGTCTTAAATGCAAATTTAATTGAAAAATGTGGAGTCATTTGTTTCAGAAAATGTCGTTTGAGCGGTTCAGAAAATGCGCAATTTTGAGCTCATTTTTACTGAAAGCTGTTCAGTTTTAAGAAAAATTCATAAGAAATGATCTGACGAAAAAATTCAATATTTACAAAACACTCTCGTAATGATAATATTAAAACAATAACAAATGTTTACTCAATTGCAAAACTAAAAGAATACATCAAAATTGAGTTTATGTCGTGTTATCAGCGGCGGTACCTTTCATTCCATTAAGCAGCTGCTGATGTTATTTTACGTAAAGAGCAACTGATAACTTCGCAATGTGAAAGCATATTTCTCATTCTCATAGTTCTAAATACTACTTTATTCGCATCATTATAAACTACAAACTCAATTAATATGTAATAAATACACAACCTACATTAATAGTGACTCGTGATCAACACATTTGCATTAAACTCTTTCAGTCCACCAGCTTTTTGTTTATTTTGAGGTTTACTCTTCGGGAAGTACAGTTGTATTTGCGTTTCCAATTGAAAGAGTCGGGAGAAGGTGTGTAGCTGTTAAAATTGTAATTTTTGCAAAACCATAATATTTACTTCCTTCAATCTCTAGTTTGTTCAGTGTCTTTCAATTTACAGTCCATAGGTAGGTCTGTTGTGAATTCCTGATCTTGTAGTACTTTTTAGGACATTCATTTGACCTTCTCAATGAAAATGTTTTCTTACATTTACATCTCAAGTGTGTTTCTGGGTGGGTTATTACGTTTTCACCCGTACCCTCCTATTATTAGTGTGTTGCCTGCTGAGGGAAACCACCAAGACCACAAAATGTTGGTGCATATTTGCGGTCACAGGCAGCAGGTGCACCCCACAGGTACGAATCAGATAAGGCCCTTAATTATTTACCTAACATGTTAATGATACACTTGCAATTTATTTTCTTGTTAACACTGTTATTGCATGTATTCGATGGTTAGTTGTCGGTTGGCTGTTAGTGATTCCAGGTTATTGAAGTCAGTAGTCTCGTAAGTGTAGTGCATGTGTTTCCTCGGGAGGGGGCGGTCTTTCTCGCCTGGATGTCGAGATCCGGCGCGGCCTTTCCGCGGGTAGGGGGTTTCTCCCCTCAACCAGGTATTTCCCACCAGAAGAAGCACCGCCGCTGCTGGGGCAAGCACTAAGCTCTTGCCCGGTCCCCCGGCTTATGCGGTAGTGTAGTACATATTGGTGTAAGTGTCTTTAAGAGGTGAGAGTATAGGATTAGGAAGAGGAAGGAAAGGTCGCGCGCGTTCCGTGACCCATTTATTAGGGTAGTGCTCCGACATTCGCCTGGGATCGATGGGAGAAACCATGGAGAAGTACCGGTCAGAGCAGCCGCCCCTTGAATTCTCCTTCAGACAGCGACTACTTTTGACCCAGAAGACAAGCTAGTGTCGAAAATCCTGCCCATTGTCAAGACTCGAACCTAGTCACAGGCATTGTAGTGACATCAGTTAATACATTGATGTATTACTCTCCCTATGTATGTATTCGTGACTTGTATTTTTTGAGATAAAGAGTTTTAGTACTACTATGGAGTGGATTCGAATCATTTACGATTTATTATTATTATGTATTTAAATATGCTTTATGTAAATAGTAATTACGAGAAAAACATCTCAAATATGATTAAGTAATTCATTAGCACCAAGTCATTAGCAATATTTACCCATGAACGTTTACAATTACTGAATTAAAAGCTAATGAGCAGAAGCAAAATACAGTAATGACATTACAAACAATTAATACTCATTTAATGCAGCTCAATGAAATTTAAATCTTAATGAAGATGGTTCTTCAGAGGAAAACCTCAGGGATCAATGTGATTTCATCGTTTGGTTAAGGAATAATTTTGTCTGCAAGATTAGACATCTAATACTACTGTTGTGTTCTAGTTAATTTTTTAGTATTTTGTCAAAATACAGTTTTTTTGACAAAAGTTAATTATTCTGACATTATGATACGAATTTTATTAAATTTGACGTAATGTGATTTTCTCGTAGGCGATAGTTACCAAAATAGCAATCAACAGTATTGAAATTTTGATATTGAAGTTGAGGGTTCATTGTTAACCCTAGAAGTGCTGGGGTCGACTGGACCGCAACAATATTTCAAATTCACACCGAGAACAAATTGCCGACGACAGACACGTAGCGCTTTACGTAAAGCTTGCCCTCGTGATTCTTGCAGTCTCAGTGGTGCCAATACCGCGCCGAGGAAAGAAGCTAATGTGGAAGTGATGCAACGAGAGTCTACTGGAACCATTGGGGAGTTTCTCGTTGTTCTGCACACAAATAAAATATAAATAGTGTTATTTCTATAATGCTTATCCGTCATGACAGTGGGAATTCATAACATATCGTTTCGTCTGCATTCTTGTGTGACGTGATTTCAACCGGTATTTGTAATCATTCTGATATGATCTGAATTGAATATTATCTGAATATGAAGAAAGGTTACACTTTAAAAATTTTTTCCCTTATAAATTCCATTTTTGTGTTTTTTCGTTTTCGTGCACCCTTAAAAGAAAAGAAAATTCAATACCACACTTTCAATACATGTCTTTTCTAATACTAAAAATCTTTAGAGTTCGTGAAACTCTAGTGTGTAGCTAATGTAAAAATAAGTTTGCAGTTACAGGATTAATTTGGGTGACGATAATACCCCGCAATCCGGCGAAATGAATTGGGATTTGGACGTGAACCCTCGCTCGGTAGGATTCAGACACTCGCGCTGCCCGCCGCCTCCTGATTAGAGGCCAAGGGCGGCAACTCTGCTCCTGTTCATTAAGCCCGTTCCGAGTTTCCTACTCAAGTCTATCGCACACTTCGCTCAAAGTTTCTGGTGCACCCTCATTGCAATGGACATTATGTTTCTAAAGTTACTGGAAATTTCTAACATAATGAAAATCGCCTAATTGTTCTCGTTCGGAAAAATTCGGGTAACGAAGCTTCCACTTTAAACTGAATTAAACTCTCTGACCCTGTGTAGACGAGTGGTTTTCCCTGCCCATATACATATATTATTATTATATAATATAATTTTAATATATATATATATTATAATAATTATATATATATATATATATATATAATGATGTCTGCCTTTGGAGACATCATTATATAAAAGGAAACTGTCGAAATTCTAAAATAAGCTCGTAAGAAACTTTTAAGCATATTTTGTGCAATAAATCCTTAGATATTCCGAATGACAGAGTCGCAATAAGCATTCCGAAGTTGATTTGAAAAAATATTTTCTACGCAAAAATTTGCATTGCAGAAACAAGTAAACCCTCTAAAAACATGTAAGCTGTTTATTATTTACAAAAGAAATAAATATACTTGTTCACAAAGAAAAATTAACACAGAAATGTGATGGTCACTTTCTCCAAAGGAGACACTGACTGCTACAGGAAATATTGACCGTTTCATTTAAAATCATTTTCAAGTATGTCTAATTTCATATTCAAAATACTAACAAAATATTAACATATACGTCATTGTATTACTCTTTTTCAGGGCTTGACTGTACGAATGTTCGAAATTTCAGTCGGGTTAAAGCTATTTTTACTTTTAAAGCAGTGATTTATTAAGTGTTGAATATTGTGACCGTTACAACCGGTTAGTAATGCTAGAATTACCTACTTACGTAACTTAGTTTGCAAATAATGCTTTTCGACTTTCAAAATATAGTTTTGCATATATCTAAAGTCGGAATAGCCGAAGGGTATTCCACAGTATTTTTTGAACTTAGTGTTACAATGCGTAATGAAAGTTTGCTGAAGATATATTCTACAAATAAGCATTATATCGTATGCAGTTCTCTTCACAACACTATTGTGGAGTTATATCACAGTTGGAACGTCGTGCTCTTATGCACTGCCAATCACGTGACATTAAACTTTTGGACCTCATAATGCTAGAGATCAGAAGAAGTTTTAGCGCCCTAGCAAATACTGTTCCACACATGTTAATCTGCAAAATTAATGGAAAATTAAAAAAAATTAATTGCGTGTTTTTGTAGTACGAATTATAAACTTACTTGCTTACGATGGCGGACGTGTAATGGCTCTCCTGGCGGATGAAACGGAATAAAAGGGAATCATCAGATCATTATATATTCGTATTCGCTGAGCCTACTTGATTCATATACGTGATATTTTTAATTTAATCCATTGCGAATCGTAATATATTTTAAAATTCATCGCTGCTTATGATGACAAAGAAGCGTTTTCCTGTTTAGAAGTGACAGTTTATAATACAATGGACTAATTTCAGAAGGAACTACGATCGAAGTATTGTACGATCTAAGAGATTTGAATTTAACCTAACATGGTTACTCACAATGCGTTTGAACCGCTCAATCCGTATCCATATTCATTAGAGCAAAATCTTGTGATCTCACGCTTATTAGAAACGTATCCACCGATTAGGGATAATGTTAACTGCAATACAATGCACTAGAAAGTGAATCGTAGGTCCCACTTTACGCGTAAGATGCGTAGTTCTAATGTCAGTTCCGTGACGCATAGTGCACAAGGTCAAGATCTAATGAGCTGAAACTCTCTTAAGCGCATGGGGTCAAGCGCCCGCCCTCACTGAAATTAGTAAGATCAAGAACTCCCGACTGGGATATGTAGAGGTACTGAGGGTCTTGCCGACCTGGATGGCGGAGCTAGTTAAGAGCGTGTAAACACTCAGCGCTTTGAGCCGAAGGGATGCGGGTTCAAGTCCCACCTTGGGCACAGTTGTTTGACCCCTGCCTGTCATGTATGTGTTGTTGCGGAAGGCTTCGCGTTCTGCTGACCCCAGATCAGATGAGCCCGTAAAGTGTGTTCGGGTCTAGTGTACGGTCGAATTTGCGTCCCATTGGAACGTGAACGATAACCGGCTGTGGGCTGGACAAAAATCTTCAAAAACGGTAATTACATTTATATATTAACAAAAATGCATTTAGCGTTTAACTTCACTTACATTTAAGTTTCACGTTTTAACATTTAAGAGATACGATACATTAATACGAATAACTGATATTAAAAGGCTTTTGCTCATCGTTAAGTAGTTGTAAAACAGGATCTTCACCTTCTTGCAACTTTCAGGGCTTTTTGTGATGCGCACAAGGAAGCAATCTGCTGCTATCGTCTGCAATTGGAAAACAGCCCCAAATTTGGCTCTCCTCGTGAGAGGAAGTAATATCTCTGAGCGTGCATCCTCCTAGCGAGAGATAATTATCATTCTTGAAAGCTCATTGGGCTAGATAGCGGGCGAGTATTGCGTGTAAAATCATTTCTATTTAAGGAACTCATTTGGCATAACGAATTTTAAGCATATTCATTCACAACCAAAATTGAATATGCTGTGTCTGGAAATGGAATTGAGTAACATAGATTAATGAAACAAACACATTTTTTCGTACAATACGTTCACCTCTGAATTACTCAGTCATTTTTTTTATTTTCATAAGTACTGCATCCTTTATTATCTCCTATTCTGCCGTGTTTGCTGACACCTACATTCGGCTGCTTGCCTCGTTTCTCGTGTTTTTTCGCCCGCTTCCGTCATCATTGACTATCTATGTTATTTGTAGCACCCGTCCGATCTTTGCACGCGACTGATTGCATTTAGATATCTTTCCTACAATTTTCGGTGAATAATTCTTTGTATATAGGCCTGGCTTGTAAACATGCGATTCAATGGATTGTTTCATCTAGAAAATCAATAATGTGCAAAGGAGTTTTTACCACTAACCCAACAATTTCATTTACAACAGGATTATTTCGTCACATTGTACACCTGTTTATCAAATGTTAAAGTTTTATTTCCTTCCCTCCTCCTTCAGTTCTAATAGTTGAATTAGTAAGTTGCGTAACAAATGCCTGAATCATCTCGTATCCTGTTGCGTACACAAAATAATAAATAGCATTTTTACCAAAATGGTTACTCCTCAATCGATGTTGTTGAAGTCACTGTCCCTTTAAATGGATTTTTTAATTTTTGTGGGACACAAAGACTTTCTGCTATTTTCAAACATTTTCTCAACCATTCCATCATTTTTCCCCTCGCGCTTCTCGAATAGAGCAAACGTTGTAGATAAAAATCGCTCCGGATCGACTTCCCTTTAACCCTAATTTTTACTTACTCTCTTACTAACGTAAAAAGGAAATGTTATGTAATCGTGCGCCGGAAAGCGCTGAATTTTCGACACAAGAACTTTAATTGCCGGGACCTGGTAAGGAAAGAGTGGATAAATCCAGTTGATATATATAGAAAAACAATCCTCTAACACGCAGTGTATCAAAAATCCATGTTTTGGGGGTCCTGGATACCAAAAATTCAATTGACGAGAAAACGATAATCTGTCTGTTCACTTTGCTAGCGCAAAAACCGTTCAGCCGATTTTCTCTAAAATTGACATTACCCAATAGTTTTAGCTGATGTCCCTTGGAAAACATATTCCGCAATTGTAAAGGAATTCAAATTGTGACCATATTACTGAGTAACAATTCATTTTACGATTGCGGAATCTATTCTCGAGCGCAATGGCGGCAACAGGGTACCGTCTGTCCGTCGGTGCGACGGCCCGTATCTCTTCAAAACATGCGCCAGCACCATTCATACGGTTTTCTCTAAAATTGATGATCTTTAATCAACGAGAAAGATCTCGGGTCTCTGCGAGTTCGAAAATAATATTTTGATTGTGAGAGATACTTTACATGAAGATTCAACATTTTTAAACTTCCCTCAAATGGGCGTCAAACGATCTAGTATTATTTTCGAACGCTTACGAAAATAATGCAGAATCTTCGTTAAGCTACCTTAGTTTTGAAAAATCAGATGTTGGGAATAATGCGAGGACGTATGTACTATTTTAGCCCTACAAGTTTAATATATCTATACAATATGTTTAGACAATGTAGCGACTTCGCAGAAGTGATTCTCTTGACAATAATCATCCACTTAACGAACAGATTGCATGCTTCGTTACGAGGAATGTTTATCACAACTTGGAAGGCAAAAATATAAACATATGTTAGAGTGACTCGGTGAGAACGGAGAAGTGATGTTATAGGTATTAAATAACAGAATGTGAAGTGAAACAGAACACTAGAGTAGGATCTGATCAACCGAGGCGTACTTATGGTACGGAAGACCTGGTACGTGACATGGAGGTACCAATAAGGGCGACATTTAGTTTACTCACTAAAACAAATAACAAAAACCCTAGTTTGAATAGTTTGAATCGCGTTTGTATATCGATAATATGTTTGTCATCCGCGCCTCAATACCTCAAGCGTCAAGCGCCAGCACTCGCAACGCGAAAGGGAAGAAGTGGCTCGCGTGGAAGAAAGCTGCCCGCAGCGGACAGGCAGCAAACAGCAGACATGCGGCATGCGACGGCCGACGGCGGCGGAGGCACCCCTTCATAATTTACGGGGACGCGCCTCATGTCGCTTTTGTTCGCGACACAATAGCCCCACGGCTTAAAAGCCGGTCCCGCCCGCGATTAATCAAGACGTCTTCATCGCGTCCGTGATTGGCACCGGCCATAATGAGCGGCTGTTGCGCTGCCCCCCCCCCCGGCGCTTGGCGCAGGTTCCTGCTGCGGCCGCCGCTGCGCCGCTGTTTGCCCGGCCGCGCGGCCAAACCGGACCTGCGTTGAACTAAGCGCACAGGTGCGCGGGAATGCCTCAGGCTTAGTGGGCATACACACGCAACGGACCGCGTAAAGAACTGGCAGCAGTACATTCGATGTTACTGAGCTTGGAAAGATATGGCAAACATGGTAGGCTGCTTATTTTTTTATTAACACATTTATTTTGCTGCAGAATAGGTTTTATCCTAAGCGAAGAAGTTTTATTTTTCGAACCCACATACAAATCGCTCGTGGGCGCAATTCAAAAAATACGAATTTTGATTTAATACATTCTCCAAAATTTTCAGATTGCCCTATCTCCCAGCAGGAACAGCAGATTATCTAACAATATAATATTCCACACACAAATAGCAGAAATGTGAATGCAAGAATGATGGCAAAAACTTCAAACTATTTTATCTCATCATCTGATTTTTGGTGATCTGTCATTATCGCAGTCCATGAACAAAATGGTTTACTTGAAGTAGTCTTGTAAACAATCATGAAAAATTGTTGTATTAGTAAAAGTAATTCCTGGAATGAAATAAATAACAGCAATTTTTTAGATACTTTACTACTCTTGTGTGGTTCTAATACAATTTTCAAAGTGTACATATTCAAGGTTATTGTTATTAACAAGTCTAAGTACAAACGAAAAATCGCAATTTTGTGACCAATGTTTGTCTTTCTATTTACAAGTAATGTCAAATGAAGGAACTCAGCGCTGAAGTACTGTTCTATAACCTGAAATGTGATTTCAAACAGTTCTGAGTCTGAATTTTGAATTTGAGAGCATCGGACCTACATATTAATGAATGTTTGTAGTTTTTTTTCTATAATACCTCAATTCATAAGTAATGAAATATCTCTCGCAAACAATACTGTCGATAACCCTAGCGCTGGATTAGTAGGATCCGCGAAGTCCCTTATCACGCGATGGACTGGGACGGAACAAACCCCATGCATCACACCAGTCCCGATTGACGATGACACGATGATGGATTCGGAATGAAAGATCGTGCGTGTAGCCTTTGCCCGTGTCCTACCTGATAGTTCGACATTCGCCCGCGAAAAAACAACAGGAAAACACGTAATTCACTCACCACAGCAATTTGCCTGCCAATTTGATTCGTGCAGAAGCTACGGTCATCTATTTTAAGCACTTCATGTTTTCTGGAACCTGTTTAGTACTTGAATCCGCGACCTCCCAATTAACTGTTAACAATGACTCTACGGCATCGCCTTTTCACTCTCTGCTACCGGTGTTGGTGCTCTGTATGTTGCTTTATAAAACTTCTGAAACCTAATTTAAGAAGTTTAAATGCAATACATTGCCTTTATTGTGATTAACATTAGTTTTAACTACACACTGATGGTGTTCGGTGGTAATTGTTTCTTGGCTCTGTGATTCGACCGAAAATACCCACGATGAGCCAACGTTTTGCGGTTAAATTGGTAGCACAAGGCCTCCTGTTCTGTATTTGCAGAGTCATTAGCAGCCAATCTCTGTGGCCTTCCTGTTGGCGCAGCCGATCCGTCTGACAGCGATCCCCGCCGCTTGCGTCGGGGGTCTTGAGCTGCAGGCAAACGGGTCGCTCGCTGCGCTTGAAATCGACCGACGTCGGGTAGCCTTCGTATCTCTAATGTCATCGTTTCATGACCTCTGTTTGTCAGTCGGAATCTATTTATATTTATTAACATTTATTAATTTCAAGTTCGCCCCAGGACATCATACATTTGTTGTGCCATTGACGGTACATATGCAGCAGTCTTTTTGGGCCCTTATCTACCACTGTACATTTAGTAATATAGTGAATGGTTCTGGATAGTACAGGTACTTCCTTTAAAACGTTACTTGTATTTCGTTTGCTTTCGGTGATTAGGCCATATTATTAACTACAAGCGGTAGAATTAAATTTTCATGAATATTAAATATCGTTGATAAAAGAAAGATCATAAAAATATTTAGGTTCTAATAAACAGTAGTTCCTTATTATTTTAGCACACTCCGGTACAGCTACAACAGCTAATATTTTACTTTTTCATTCTTTGTTTTACATCTCTACCATCATCTCTGTTACCTACATTTCCTTGAAAAAGAAACTAACATTTCGAATGGCACAAAAGGGAAGGCCCAGTCTCACAACAAAGAAAAGCATATGAATAGTGGAATAACAGACCCTTATCCAAGGAAGACTGAACAATTAGCACATGATGTGACAGATCTGTTTTGAACACCTAAAGCGATAATAGAAAGGATATGAGAGTTGTGGAAGTGAATCTTTTGAAGCTACTAATGTAGTCACAAATTGGACAGGAGAAAGTGCAGTATTGTTGTGTGTGACAAGGAAAAGTAGAGCATTCACGTACTGACAGATTGACAACTACGATTACAAATCTACCGCACAGAAACCAACGAGAAAGGGATGGATGATGATGACTATCGGTAGAATCTACTGATGACTATGGGTAGAATCACGTCCCAGTTGGTATAATGAATACAATATTTTCATCTTCATTTGAAACACCGTCTTGATATACCCACATTTGTTCAAATTGTATTATTCCAAAAATGCTAACCAATTGCTAAGCTCTATTCCAACCATTTCTAACAAGTATTACGTAAGAATGTAGTTTTCTCTTTGATTAAAGTCTCCAGAATGTTTTTCTGACTCCACGCAGAAAGATTTGTATTATCTTGGTTAGAAATGTAATTTTAGTTGCATACTCGAGTCAGCTTTAAGCAAGTGCTTGTGAACTTACTTCCGATGTTCTTCAGCCCGTCGTTCTGTCAGAGTGACCTTCTGGGTCCCACTTCTGGTAGAGCCTGCCCATGCACGTATGGAAATGGGCGTGGCGGGGAGAGACGCAACAGGACGTGACGCGGAATAGAAAGGCGAGGAGGCGCCGCGGAGGCATATCGGGAGGTGTCAGGGGCAGGGGCGGCCGCCGCGTGCGGCAGGTGCGCCGGTTATTGATCTCACCCGAACGAAAGTGAATGAAGTTCT